TTGTATCGAGGAAATCAAGCTGATTTATGAGAAGTAAAAACTTTCGTGGATCATATCTTAATCAGGAAGAGAATTTATGGATGTCAACTTCTTTATTATGAGGAACACAACGTTTCGGAGTATATACATACTCCTCCATCAGGTGAATACTCCGAAACGTTGTGTTCCTCATAATAAAGAAGTTGACATCCATAAATTCTCTTCCTTATGTGTATCACTTCTTAATGCCTTTCAAAGTCATAACCATAATCGTTCGTAAATAGAATATCTTCTGGTTTCACCACTGATAGGCACGTACCGCCTCCGTGGTCTAGTGGTAGAGCGTCCGCCCGGAGAGCGGAAGGTCCGGGGTTCAATCCACGGCCGCGTCATACCAAAAGACTTTAAAAGACGGTACTTGTTGTTACCCTGTCTGGAAATCGGCATTAAGTGGCTAAAACAAGGACTGGTCGGATCGGAGTCTATACTTTACTATACTATACTATACTATACTATACTATACTATACTATACTATACTATACTATACTATACTATACTATACTATACTATACTATACTATACTATACTATACTATACATAAGTGCAATAATCTTGGACGCGACGTTAAACCAAATTTCACCTCACCTCACCTCTGATAGGCACGTAAACTCACTATCTCTACCCGTGTAGCCCCGGACTGTTCAATTCTGGTGTTAGTCTCAAGTGTCCAGGGGTATTCATGATTTTGAAAGTTGGGTGCACATAACATCCAAGTCACTAAGTGACTTGGCGGTGTCTCCCAAATTATATATATTCATGAAATATTGTTACGTCCTCAAATTGTGTAAATAAATAAAAAGAATCAGGACATTTTCATCATGATATTGACAACATTCTACAACAGCAAAAGGATTTTTAAGAACTTATAAACATCCAGGGGCGTCATGCTATTGTTCTCCAGTCATAAACAGGGATGTTATATTATCCCTGGAATTTTATTAATACAACTTCCGTTTATATCAAAACATATTCATGTTTCTCGCTAGACATTTATTGAAAATTTGCATTTGAACACAATGTAAGGGACTGTAAAATAAAATGAGAAACACTTTCTTTATATTCCGGCTGATCGAACACACAATTTTCGTATCTGTAGCCCAGTGAGTGTACAACTAGGCCACAGAAGCGCTGGTACAACACAATGCTTTCAAAATCGTCTTTTACAAGTACCCGTACCCCAACAACAGATCTTTTACGCCCGCTTCCTCAGCTTCATGGCTAGTATGTTTAACATATTTAACTGTTCATAATTATTGTTTTATGTTTCTATTTCGGTTTATAAGTTAGAAAAAACACTAACCCTGTTTTTTATGAGATTTAAAACCCTCGTCCTCGAGTTATCCCTTGGATTCGGGTTTTGAATCTCATAAAAAAACACTCTTTTATTCTACACATAGTACACAGTCCTCAATAAATCCAATTGCACAGGTTTCAGCGACATCCAAACACTGGTGTGGGTCATTAGTCCATGGGCAAGCTGTACCTTTTGTCGATTCTCAATTTCTCGCTTGATAGGCTTTCGGGGAGCTGGGCTTGGGTTTCTCATCATTGAGTTTTGATCACGTGGTTACAATCCGACCGAGGATCGGCACTCAGGTGCCTCCCACCTCATTAAAATCAGATCTTAGTTTACGCTACCGCTAAACAAAGATCTGAGGACATCCCATTACGGGTCACGTCAGACCGACACGTTAAAGTGATGAATTTTGCGTTTGGTTGTTCTTATTTGTATTCTCCGCCCTCTTACACATTAATCATCAACCTAACTTGAAAGAAGTCGGATTTCCACTCTACCAAGCCCTCGAATCCCTGTCTAAAAAATACAACTGCTGCTGCCCCCCCCCCCCCCCCCCCCCCCCCCTAAAAAATAAAAATAAATTAAAAAATAAAATAAAAATAAATAAATAAATAGTGAGTGAGTGAGTATGGTTTTACGCAGCTTTTTTTTAGCAATATTCCAGCAATATCACGGCGGGGGACACCAGAAATGGGCTTCACACATTGTACCCATGTCGGGAATCGAACCCGGGTCTTCGGCGTGACGAGCGAACGCTTTAACCACTAGGCTACCCGACCGCCCCAAATAAATAAATAAATAAATAAATACAAACACACACACACTCAGAGGGTTTCCCTCAGTTAACCCCACCACCCCCCACCCCACCCCACCCACACCCATACACCCTTATATATTTCTCACATTACCTCCCCGTCCTTAGATAATTCTCACCCCACGTGTCCTCAGTTGACACTCATGATCTCCTTCCCTCAGTTAACCCTCTCCACCACCACCCCTCCCTCCATCCCACACACCCGCACTAATCTATTTCTCACATCCTATCCCACCCTCAGTTACAATTTGACGTCTAAACAGCAAGGCTTCAGCTTAATAGGAATGAGAGAAAAACGATGTCATCAAAGCGCAGTAAAATTGGTTGTTGAAATATCACCGATTATGTACAACATTAACCAGACGTATAAGCGAGCACATTTTGTAACGTCCATTACAGAACAACTATATTTGAAACAAGAGCAATGAGTCACCAGTAACCAAAGCAAGACCACCCAAGTTGAAGCCGTGTTTTCATTTTCGGAATGACGCTACAGAAATATTTACGTCATCAGTCTAACAAATTGTATGCCACATGCTGTAACATTCTGCTTGACATTTTCCTCTATTAAGTTTGACTTGCGTGACCTAATCCGAGTTGCAATAATTGTACGCTACTTAAGTATCTTAAACGTCACTGCATCAAGAATCTCTGTTTGCAATGACATCATTCAATTCTTACAATGACAATCTATCATACATAAAACCTCATTTTACAATTTGTTAATTCAATTTCCTTCAAATAGTTTAAATACAACCTCCGCCTATGCTTGTAAAAAATTGAACTGTTGCTCTGTGAATAGAATCCACCCCATGAAGATCCGGGTTAGAACAGGTCATCAGCAAGCAATGCTTGTCTTAAAAGGCGACTAACGGGATAGGGTGGTCAGGTTGATGCATGTCATCGTATCCCAAATGCGTAGATCGATGCTCATAATGTCAATCACTGGCTTCTCTGGTCCAGGCTCGATTATGTACAGACCGCCGTCATATAGCTGGAATATTGTTAACATTGAACAACAACAAAGAAACAAAAGTATCCTTTGCAATTGCGGAGTCCGTACAATCCAGCAGAACATGCAAGACAGTGACCTTCCAGTCACAAGGGGGCACGGGTGGCCCAGTCGTCTAAGGCGCCGCGATTCGCTGTGCAGAGTTGCGTCCCTTGGGCACGCCAGAAACCTATGATTGTGGGTTCGAATCCCGGTTCGCCCCGATTATGTTTCTAGGTTTGTCAGCACCATACCCGTGCTCGTCGGTTTCACCGAAGTGGTAAACGTCTGAGACCTGTATTTCTTTGGGCTTTCCTCCCACATTAAGCTGACACGCCGTGATATAACTTGAATACTGTTAAAAGCGGCGTTAAATCCAACTCACTCACCCCTCGCCCCTTTCCGTAACCTGCAAGAAGAAGCTATTCGGCTTGTCCCGGAATAACACGAGTTGGTCACGAATGGTCCAACTCGTGTTATTCCGTGACAAGCCGAATAGCGACTAGTCTTCTTGCAGGTTACGGAAAGGGGCGAGTGGTGACGAATGGAATGGCTCGGTGATTGGTGTAATGGTATCCCGACGGAGTAGATCGCGGATCACAATATCGATCACAGTATCGTCTGGTCCAGGCTCTGTTATTTACAGGCTGTCGTCATATAGCTGGGGTATTTTTAAGTATGGCGTTATACAACAAACACACTGACATGGAGAAGATAACAGTTAAATGGGAGCTATGGCTTGAGGATTGATATTAGCACCAGAAAAGGCAACTTTGATTTATATTCCAAGTGTTGGATTAAGAGCTGTTTTTTTTTATTGCAAGAAGCGAATTAAAAAGGCAATCCTATGTTGAATTGGATATAGTAGAACAATTATTGAAAAATATTGCAAAGATAGTTTTATGTGACGTTGTTTTGGGGACGGCTTCTCAGCCTCAACATTCTGGCGATTTATAAGATGTTCTTAAGGTTCCAAGGCAAAACTTTTAACTTTGATAAACAATCAAGCTGTTTTTAAATTACTTAAGCAGGCTCCACCATATACTATAGAGTCATAGCGCCGTCCAGTGTGCTTAAGCACTCTGTACTGTTGGAAAAGGGTGGTCGGATCTCCACACTTCGAATTTGAAACGCCTTTTTAATAGTCAAGGAGGGGCCTTCGGGCATTTTTTATACACTTTATGTGTGACAAAACAGTCGAATAATAAAAAATAATACCAGGAGATCCACCCCAACATCATTTTTTTTTAAAATAATGAGATCGAATATGTTTTCTTCCAAAATGGTATGTTGGGCTTAACTTTTAAAGCTTCAAACCATTTCAAGCGACCATTTTTGGATTTATATATACATATAATTGTAGTTGCCATTCATTAGTAGTTGTGGTTTTGCCACGGCGGGAAATATTTAAATCATACACAAAAGTGATCACATGGATCATTTAAAACGTTTGAAACGCCGCACTCAGCAATATTCCAGCTATATGACAGCGGTCTGTAAATAATCGAGTCTGGACCAGACAGTACAGTGATTGATATCATGAGCATCGATCCACTCAATTGGAATACGATGACATGCATCAACCAAGTCAGTGAGCCTGACCACCCGATTCCGTTAGTCGCCTCTTATAAGAAGCATATGATAAAGAGGTTATCGCGCTAAATACAATGTTTATTCCTAATACGGGATATTTACCATCCCCAAACACACTCGCGTGATAACCTATATTTACCACTACGATGTAATATCTGAGACGACTCTGGCGAGATCATGATCGGATGTCTGTAAATGGGTTTATTCGTGAAAGACCAAGCGCAAGTCTACATCTTTTAGACTGGTTCTCCCACAACCCGGAAGCGGAAGTGAGCGTAAAGGTATCAGCCCAGCACATGTACATGTTTTGATTTCTCACGCAATCGCTACGGAAATTTCATTTTCTGATGTAGCTGTCAGGTAATTTTGACAGTCGTTGGTTGAATTAATGGGAAGGACGGACGTAAACAACCTCAAAAGACACAAAATGAAGAAAGAGCACGTGCTTAATTGTAGCTTTTCGTCTTGGTATGACAGATTCAAAGATCTTACAATCAAAAGGTAAAATTGTAAATAGAGAATCTGTCACACTGACAGCTTTCGGTGTTCCTATTTTATCATTAACTCTGCGTGTGTATGTTGTGGTTGCTTCTATGTATAAAACTCCCCAAAGTATTTTGATGTCTGGTTGGTTTCGTTACGGATACTTTCATTGACTGATCCGATTCATCGATTATGTGTGATATATTTTGTGTGGATAAGATTTTATAACAATATTAACACTGTCAAAATCAATAATGTAACAACAACAAAGATTCTTCTCTGAACAGTGTTGAAGTCAGCCTATTCTTCGGGTGATGCAGTGTTATCAATTTGGGACATAATGCACAGTCATATAATATTCTCAACAAGTAAACAATGTAATGTGATGCTTCAGAAGACCATCTTGCAATTATTATCGCACATGTGCATGTAAGCAGAAAGTTGTTGCCATGGTTACACTAGATCGTCTGCTATATATGGAGAAGAAGATCAAGACCCCTAAACAGAAGTCGACTGCCTCCGTGGTCTAGTGAGAGTTGAGGGTTGGAGGTTTGATCCCCAGCTGCGTCATACCAGAAGATGTTAAAAGATGGTATACTTGTTCTTACCCTGCCTGGCGCTTGGCATTTAGGGGCTCAAACAAGGAGTTATTCGCTATGAGTCAGTATACTGTGTCTGAGTGGGGTATTCATGATTAAACTGTGGCATGGTATCTCAGTGTGCTAGCACTATAAAATCGTCTGGACTAGTACAAACAGCCACACACACAAACACACATGCATTAATGCATGTCACTATATAAGTGAAATAGTCTTGGACGTGATGTTAAACCTCATCTCACCTCCCCTCAATATAAATCAGCTGTTGATACGGTGTTACCCCGACACTAAATAATAGTTACATATAGAATGCTAAACGAGCTCCCATGTAAAACCAATTTGAATAGTGAATAGTTTTGGTATTTGACGAGCAAAAGCGAGGCAGATACCAGAACTATTCACGTTAATTGGTATTACACGGAAGCTCGTTTAGTATTTTATTTATAACTTGCCATTTATAACTTTCTTTAGAATTTCACTCTCGCGTTTGAATAGGCACACACCTACACAATCCACAACGTATTAATCCAATAGAGTTAACAGAATACGTCAAACGTTGACACAAATGTATTTAATACCATACAACAGCCAACCTTTAGAATTCAGACGTCTGTTCCACACAGTTATCGTAGCCCTAAGGTTAACGTAACTCACATTCTTTAACAGAAACTAACGACTTGCGCTACAATACGATCGCCTTGTGGAACGGGACCTGCACCACAAAGTCACAAAGTTTACAATCATGTCACAATACTCTTTGGCATGATTTGTGGAATTGTGTTGCAAGATGCACCAGCGAAACAATGCCAAGTGATGTCAGCCTAGCAACAGGGCTACTGGGGTCATTGAGTGTGCATTAGCTCCTCTCAGTGATCTAGCATCTCCTCACGCAATGTCATTGCATAAGCCAAGGGATGTTGAGAGCTTTCAATGTTTGTTAGTGTAACTTGTTCCCGCAGTACATAAGCACACGCTTTGGTATTACACAATGTGTAATACAGCTGTATGTTTATTAAACAGGTGATCTCTTCACAGGCAAGAAATAAAAAAATATGATCTCTATTTAGCATCCCTGGGCGTACAGACATGTGTAGCCAAAGTTGTTTCATTTGGAATTGTAAACATTTTCTTGAATGTTTTGTTGACTGAAATTTAATTATTTATTCATCAAAGACAGTGTAAATTGATCATAAAACAATACAATTACTCCTTAAAATATCTAAAATTTTGATAGGCATGTTATGTGATTATCATGATATCCCAATATCCGTAAAATATATTGAAATATATATTTTGATTGATGAATTGCATGTATTATGTAATAACCTAGTCAGATGTTGCAATGTTAAACTTTGCTGATCATGTATCTCTGGGCCGCAGGGGGGCGATGAGGTAGTCTAGTGGTTAAAGCAGTCACTCGTCACAATGAAGACCCGGGTTTGATTCCCCACATGGGTACAATGTGTGAAGCCCATTTCTGGTGTCCCCCACTGTGAAATTGCTCGAATATTGCTAAAAGCGTCTGAAATTGCTCACTCAATCGGTGGTGCAGGCTAAAACAGCACCTTACCATGTCACAAATTTTAACATGCAAAAACAGCACTGCTTTCCTGAAAACAGCTAATGAAGGTGCAGTGAAAATGGCACCTGATATTTATGACAATGATAAGAATGTTTTATGTAGTAGTATATACATTTATGCTCTTTTCATTGGTAACATTATTAATTATATTTCTATTCACAGCATTTACGGCATTGTAATCTTTTGAGTCTGTTTTTAAAGATTTCCTCCAAAGAAGTTGGAATATCGATGCATAAACATTGTTGTTTTGTTTCTATTGTTATTACTATCATTAGTATGATTGTTCTTACCTTCGATAATATTGTTGGTCTTCATGGCAACATTGAACGGGATCGTGGAGAGAGAAGGTGGAGTGCGTGATCCATTAAATTAACCACGTTGTTACCATGGTTACCTGGTTATTCTTCTAAAAAGCCCAAAGTTGATGCCAAAAAGTTAATGTCAGAAATTTCAGGGTCTCTTCCTTCATCCATCTGGTTTCTTCAGAAGTATCTTCTTTTCACAGTTATTTCTATTTATTTCATTTAATGCTTGTTTTTAAAAACCAAAGTAGAAACAGATTTTAACAGTGTGTCATCATCATGATCATGATCCTCACCATGCTACAAACTGCTGGTTTACGGGCTGCAGTGGTATCTATAACTGAATATTGGTGTCTGTCCAGAATTGACTTATATCAAGTTACATGTTGCCACGATATTCCTGATACTAAAAGAACATGCTAATGCAATAAACAGCAATTAATCGGTCCCAGTTTGACTGTTCATTTATCAATCTCATTAAAATCATATCTAAGTTCTCACTGCCGCTAAACAAAGATCTGAGGACATCCCATCAGGGACTCTGACCGACCACTGAAAAGACTAACAAGAAGTCGACATCAACCAATTAGCAGTTTTCTCGAGCTCTACGGCACTCGTTTCAACCCTGCGACTTCCATTTCAGACTATAGGCTTGAAAAATATGTTGACACAGTTCTCGATTAAAATTTTGAAAACTGAACAAACGAACATTCCGGAATGTCTAATATATGGTTGCGATTGTATGGCGGTGCTTCCCAGGTACTGTACTGTACTGCCTCCTCCGTTCAAATGTTTATCCCAAGGAAGTGAGAGATAGACGATAATCTTGACGGAATCAGTTGTTCGGTCTGTAAATGTCGTTCAGAATACCCTGTGTTAACGTTTTCAAGGATGCATGATTAGAAAATATATTCCGAAGGTCACTATCATGATCTGGTAAGTGACGCTTTGATTGGTCGGATGAAAGGTCGTTCTGACGTGACCCGTAGTGGGATGTCCTCAGATCTTTGTTTAGCGATAGCGAGAACTAAGATCTAATTTTAATGAGATTGTTCACTTATGCATTACTTAGTGGTGTGATGTTTGGTGTTACAGTGTGGTGCTGCCTCTACCTCAAGAATTCATCGACTACCTTCACAAGGATGGCGTTGTGCTGCCAGAGGGGTAAGTAGGAGGCGCTGACATTGTCGACTGTGTTGTTGTTGTGTGTATTTATTACTCTCGTAGAAATTGCACTGTTAGAAATCAGTGCTAACCTGGCAGTCAAATGTCCATAGGGGCTAGAAATCCATATATCCTTGTTTAGAAAGTCACAGAGAGCCATATTTGAACTTCTGAGGGACTTCTGGCCTGATTTTCCAGGTGTTCTTCTATTGTTCTATTAACTGGATGTGACCATACGCTGTGCATGTTGTAGCGAGCATAGTGAGATAATAGGACCTTTAGTTTTCAAGTTAAAAGTAAACAAATCAAACATTGGGTTGTATACCCTCCAGGGAGCTGAGAATGAAATTTGAGTTCACACTGATCCATTGACCGGGATGATGATAATGTTGTGTCATGAACATTCACTTGGTGAATGGAATCTGACGCTTTATACATGGAGTTATTGTTACAATATTTTCTGATTTTGATCCTCAAGGCAGGAATTCATCCTGCTTGCACACTTCAGGGAACTGTTGCAACTTAAATATGTGCATGTTACCATGGTAACTGTGTTATTAAGACCCATATGGATAATGTGTTTCCTGTATTCTGTTTACAGTTCAGTACAGGGGAGCTCTCAATCAAGACCAGAGGATGAAAATGATGATGATGATGTGAGTTGAACCAGTCACACCTGAACATGATGTTGCTGGACACCACTTGGTGTGCCATCCTGGCACTACGTTTCATTGATTACACAGGATGTGCTGATGTCATGACATGGCTGTTTACACAGCATTAGATGATGTCATAACATGATTGTTTACATGATATTACACAGTATGTTATAACGTCATGTTTGTTTACATGATATTACACAGTATGTTATAACGTCATGTTTGTTTACATGATATTACACGTTATAACATCATGATGTTTGTTTACACAATATTACACAGCATGTTATGATGTCATGTTTGTTTATACGATATTACACAGCATGTTATAACGTCATGATGTTTGTTTAAACGATATTACACAGCATATTATAATGTCATGTTTGTTTACGCGATATTACACAGCATGTTATGATGTCATGTTTGTTTATACGATATTACACAGCATGTTATAACATCATGATGTTTGTTTAAACGATATTACACAGCATATTATAATGTCATGTTTGTTTACACGATATTACACAGCATGTTATGATGTCATGTTTGTTTATACGATATTACACAGCATGTTATAACGTCATGATGTTTGTTTACACGATATTACACAGCATGTTATGATGTCATGTTTGTTTACACGATATTACACAGCATGTTATGATGTCATGTTTGTTTATACGATATTACACAGCATGTTATAACGTCATGATGTTTGTTAACACGATATTACACAGGATATCATGACATGTGTTTGTTTGTTTGTCCAGGACGTTGACTGGGGGTCAGGCAGTGCAGCAGTGGCAGTGGTAGGTATCCATCCTCGGCATACAGTGGGCACTGTAAACACCCCAGTGTTGGGCCCTGATGTGTAGATTCCAAATTGATATCACTGTGAGATAATAAACACAATAAACACAGCTTGTGTTAAGCGGCATGAGACACTTCTAACCTTTTTATGTTTTGGCAGTAAATGTAAATCATGTTAATGAATGTACTAAATTGGAGGAGTTTTTCCATAATAGAAACCTGGGATTTATCTAGACCTGCTCCAAGTCTGATATTCGGCCACATGTCTGAAACAATTGACATTAAGAATTTCCCGGATTCAAATAAAATATATTGCCAAGTTATGTTATTATAGTAAACACTTATGTATTTGCTTTGGAGAGGTGACCTGTATTTTAGACATGTTTAATGCACCAATAAACCATGATAAACAAGAAGAGTAGTTTAGTTGAATGAACCATAATTGAATGAACTATTCAAATACCCCTGAATTTATGAAAATAAGGACTTTTTAGAAAGTCCCAATTTTGAAAAATTATGATTTTCCCCATTTTGTCAGCCCAGGGTACTTAGTTTGTGAATCCTAGATAACTCCCAGGAAACCTGGCAGCGGGATATTGGGTTAATAATGACCATTCTGTGTGTCAGGCGCCGGAGTTCCCTGAGTTTGAGAGGCTGGTGAAGAAGGCCATACAGAAGCTGGGGGGGAGAGTGTTCCCCAAACTCAACTGGAGTGCTCCACGGGTTAGTCTGAGACTATGATAGAGCTATGAGGAATTAGGGATTATCTGTGCCAATGGGGTGAATTGTATAAGTCCCGAAGTTTTGCCGGGGACAGCATTCATTCACGGGTCACAGATAATCCATAATCCCCAGTTTTGAGATGGTTATTCCATGTATTAATCATTTTAAGAATGAATATGAAGAAAATCTATGAACCGTCAACCCTAATGACAAACTTGTCTGAAGTCAGTTATCATTTCAAATTGCATTGTTATCACCAATGATTTTTTGTTTGTTTGTTGTTTAATGCCACACTCAGCAATATTCAAGCTATATGACAGCGGTCTGTAAATAATCGAGTCTGGACCAGACAAGTGATTGACATCATGAGCATCGATCCATGCAATTGGGATACACTGACATACATCAACCAAGTCCGCGAGCTTGACCACCCGATCCCGTTAGTCGCCTCTTACCACAAGCATAGTCGCCTTTTACAACAAGCATGGGTTGCTGAAGACCTATTCTACCTGGATCTTCACCGGTCTCTCAGCAATGAGTGAGTGAGTGGGTGGGTTTGGTTTTACGCCGCTTTTAGCAATATACCAGCAATATCAAGGCGGGAGACACCAGAAATGGGCTTCACATGTTGTACCCATGTCGGGAATCGAACCTGGGTCTTCGGTGTGACGAGCGAACGCTTTAACTACTAGGCTACTCGGTGTGATTTCATAGAGCTTCAACTGACCAATCAGTGTTAAGAATTGCTAAAATTCACTTATGCATAATAGTCTTATTTGGCATTTAGAAATTGGATATGATAATAGTTATTAATACAAGGATTATTATGGATGACAACTTTATCATACATATTCACCTGATGAAAGAGCAAGAGGTAGCTCTGAAACATTGTGTATGTATAATAAAGAAGTAGTTATCTATAATACTCCCTGTCATCACATGTTCATGTCATAAGAGGCGACACGATCAGGTGACTTGTCATCGTATCCAAATTGCGTAGATCGATGCTCATGATATCAATCACTGGATTGTCTGGTCCAGACTTAATTATTTATAGTCCGTTGTCATATAGCCTGAATATTGTTAAGTGCGGCGTTAAACAACAAACAAACGAACAAACAAACAACATGTTCATATATCAAAAAGTTCAATTCAATTACCATAACTTTATTCCTGTAGATTAGCCAAATGAGAAGACGTTTGCTAAGTTTACCATTTGTACTCTTGATGTTAAACAATTGTTTTGCTGACAAAAGGACGATTGATCATTCAGGCTCAGCTTGACTGCAGTATCCATGACAAGGTAAGTATGATGAACTCTGCCCTCTGTTGTGTTGCAGGATGCGACGTGGATTTCTTTTGATAAAACCCTGAAGTGCACATGTCCCAGTGATGTCTACCTTCTGTTGAAAAGTTCCGATTTCATCGCACATGATTTGTCACAGCCGTAAGTTTCGTGGTTGATATTTGCATGTACTCTCACTCACTCACCTGCCTTTTCTTGTCCATCCTGTTCATATTTACATGTGTGAGTGTTGTTAGGCTAAAGAAAATAGTAGTCTTAGTTCTCAGGCACTGGCCACATCATCATCAAGTTCATCACACGTTTCGTTTTTATTTCCATTTAAAAAAACAAACAACCCCAATCCTTAAATATTCCAAGTCCAACAGTTGTCAAATACTGTATTCCAGTATTTCACTCATCAAGGAATACATTTATGTAGGGAGGCCCTTTCCCAGGTTGATGGTACACAACTGGTTTTATTTGGTTACATACTAGTTTGAACAAGAGCAACAACACAAAACCACCACCTGTGGGCACTATATTTTAAAAAAACATTGCTGAGAACCAATTCTTTTATTTTTTAAAGCCTTATATTCACCATTAGCAGTTTAGCTTATGATGATCATTGTTCCAGTTATATAACAAACATGTGTTTAAGAATAAAGTCTGGGTGTTATCAAGTTAAGATTGATGATGATGATGATGATGATGATGATGATGATGGTGATGATGGCCCTGAAATGCTGTACAAACATTTTGAGAGAAAAAAAGAAACATTATGCCATGGATGTTAGCAGTCCTAATTCAATCAAAAATAATTTTGAAGCCATCAACAGAGCCAGCGTCTGTTTTCATCACTCTTTGATATTGTGGTAGTTGTAAGTACAAAGTTTCAAGGTCTGTTTGTTTACAGGTTTCTCCATTGTTCTGACTGTGACCTTGAGATGGCGCGAGCAGACGTTAAGTATGACCTGATCCTGAGGCGATGGCAGGATCTGCAGCCTGGCATGGAGTTCAGGTGTTTCGTCAGGAACAAGAAACTGATTGGTAGGTAAATCTCTGTCTGATGGGGGCATGCAGCATGGCAACAAGTTGGACTTAGGTTCTATAAGGGTGGTGTTCGTTTCCAGAGCATAACTCAAAAACCGTTAAATACTTTCTTACAAAACTTTGCATGTCTACCAGGCACATACTGAACTGGTGCCTTTTGATATATAGCACTTTTAGAAATTTTTATTGTTTATGTTTCCATGACAACAAGTTGGATTTAAGTTTTAATATAGGATTGGTTTACTTAAGTAGTATAACAAATAAACTGTTAAATATTTCCTTGCCAAACATTGCATGTCTATATATAAAGCGCATACTGAACTAGTGCCATTTGATATTAAGGAGTTTTAGAAATGTTTATTTTAGAATTTCCATTGCAGCTATTTTGACATGGGCTAAGAGAAATGTTGGGTCAGTTACCTGGTTTGGGACCATAACGTGTTAAAATGGGCGGGGGATATAGATGACTTTGTCAACTATATGCTTGTTTTCTTTAAGGACCAGTACAAATAACTAAATGGTGGTCTGTTGTTATTTTGGGGATGAACAAAGTAATTTAAGTTTGTATGACTTTTGAAATCAGTGATAGATCAAGCCTAAAACTCTAAGTAACATTGTGTCTAGTAGATCCAACACGACCAGTAGATTTGTTTGGTGCTGGTTATTTGGAACACTGACAAATAAATAAATGTTTTTAATAAAAATAGAAAATAAATGAATAAATATATAATTATTTTAATATAAATAAATAAATAAATAAAAATAGAAAATAAATGAATAAATATATAATTATTTTAATATAAATAAATAAATAGATAAATAAATAAATAAATAAATAAATATAGCAAGTTAGTCATATTATTACACTACCTGGTTGTACAAATGTTCATGGAAGTGTCACCAGTTTTGATATTCTGCCTTTGCAGCTATATCTCAGAGACATCACATCCAGTACTACGCCTTCCTGGAGAGTCAGAAAGATGAGATCATCAGCGACATTCAGGCATTCTTCTATCACATGATCTCCAACAAGTTTCCTGATGAGAGCTGTAAGTACTGTACACAAACTAGGTTTTGAGGCTTTGGGAAAATTCCCAGACTGATCAACATTTTCTTTGTTTGAGTGGTGTCCTCCATAGTCTTGTGGATAGAGTGTCTGACTGGAGAGCGGAACATTGGGGGTTTCGATTCCCTGGCCTCATCATACCAGAAGATTGGTACTTGTTGTTTCCCTGCCTGGTGCTCGGCATTAAGTTGATAAAACAAGGACTGGTGGGCTTGGTATACAGTGCTTTGAGTGGGGTATCCATGTTAAACTGTGACATGGTATCTCAGTGGGCTAGCACTATAAAATCGTCATTAATCAGGACAAGTACAAGCAGCCACACACACATGTACATGCACTTCGTTATACATGTAATGCAAAAATCTTGGACGTGATGTTTAACCTAATTTCACCTCATCTCACAAGCAGCCACACACATACACACACATGTACATACATGTTGCTATATAAGTGCACTAATTTTGGATGCGACGTTTACCCCCATTTTACCTCATGACTGAAATACCATTCAGTGAGGTGTTACAACCAAACTCAATATCTCCTTGTTTTAAATCATTTTTTCAAAGGTGTAACTGTACAATGTCTTTCACATTTGTCAATTATATTTTGACAATTCAAAAGGTCTTAAGAAATGATGTAAATGAACCAGACAAGTTGAGTTTAACCACAGACAATAATAACCATTTGAAACACTATAACTCGGCTATCAGCAGGTTCACATTTTACCCTTACTGTACAATGTTTAGGCTAAAATAAATAATAGTCTTTGTTCTAAGGCCCTGCCAGCAGAAGATAAAGTCTGCCGCACATTTCATTTTTATTTCCATTTAAAAAAATATAAAAATCTTTATATATTCCGTGTCTCGAACACACGACCCCGGCAGTGAAATGCTACAATATTTAAGAAGAACATAATTTCCCCGAAATGATTGTAAACAAACTTTTGTTACATACTAGCTTGAACAACCAAAAAAAATACACCGCCTGCCCGCACAATATTTTCAAAAGTCATTGCCTGAGAACCAATTCTATTATTTTTTTAAGCCTTTCCGGGTATTAGGATACTGGCTGCTGTAGTATCAGTATCATGCCTGTCAAACAATTCATGTAATATTTGTATCATGTATGATCTTCGATCTTTCATGGTGTCATCTATCAGTTGTTTTTTTTATTTTTCAGATGTGTTTGATGTATACAGGAAAGATAAGGTACATCAATTAAGTTATCTTGAACAAATAATTCGGCAACGAGCCGTGAACTTGTGCAATATGCTTATTTTGGAATATAAGAATATTTTATTTTTACCGGTTTCCTTAACAACAAATAGGACTTTAAAATGAGGGTAGGACTTTGCTTCTGGGGTTGAATTACGATCAGTATTTCCTGATGAAACTCAAACTTCCATGCTTGTTTGTTGTACTCTTAAAGTTAAGGGACGACTCAGTAGATTGGGTGGTCAGTCTCAGTGACTTGGTTGACATACCCCAGTGACGTGGATTGTTGTTCACAATATCAATCACTGGCTTGTCCTGTCCAGACTCGACTATTTACAGGCTGTCAGAAGCTGGAATATTGCTGAGTGTGTGACAAACATCAAACAAACACACACACACATGTTCACCAATCAAATGACTTAGGGCTTTCCACCTACATCAAACTGACATGATATAACTAAAGTACTGCTCGAAGCATCATGACTTACTCAGCATCCAACTCACTCACCAGTAACCCATGCTTGCCGAAAAAGGCGACCATGCTTGACATAAGAGGCGACTAACGGGATCGATTGGACAGGCTCGCTGACTTGGTTGATGCATGTCATCGTATTCCAATTGCGTAGATCGATGCTCATGATGTCTATCACTGGATTGTCTGGTTCAGACTTGATTATAGCTTCGGCGTTGAACAACAAACAAACAACTGACTCACTTATACTCCTGCATCTTAAACCCATGACTTCCCGTGCAGACATTCCCTATCTCTTATCCAGGGCCACCTGACTCTGGTGGACTTCAACCCGTTCGGTGAGGTGACGGATGCCCTGCTGTTTACATGGGAAGAACTGGCCAATGACAGTGGAGAACTCAAGGCTGAGGTCAGACACTGTGTTGAGATGAACAAAATGAGCTTGTGTCGTACTGATTTAATCATGTTTGTGAAACTAGTGCAAGGATCTTTTGTATTTCCCGAGTGAGAGAGACCATTTGATACAAGTAGGAATAGATAAGATTCCACTGTCACCTGCTGGTACGAGAACACCATGTTTCTACAGATGGTTGCAAGTACTGAGTCAATGCATGGGATGCAAGGAAGCAGAGGATGCAGATGAAAGGATAGTCAAACAACTATTGCCAAGGAAGAGTTATAATTTTGGTGGGGTAGGGGGTGAGATTGGTCTTAGGTCATATTTTGCTGCCCCCCCCTCCATTATATGTAAGATATACTTCATGGCCCCCACAAATACATGTAACAATTTTCATGAATACCTCCCCCCCCCCCCCCCCCACCCTCCCAAGATATAAATTACCCATACAGGTCCCTTATGAAGTTCAAATTGGTCCCTCATGTAGTTGATAAAGTTTGATGCGCTCACTCTTTCTTTTGCTGTGTCATTTTTTCATGACACCCCCTTTAATCTCCACACTTCAGGACAGGCTGTGGCAAAATGTAATGTTTTTGATAACAAAATCCTTGTGAAGCTGATATGTCAACATGACGCCAACAATGATATACTGCGAGGTCATAACAGTATTGTCTGCTGTGTGTCAACAGTAGCATAGGCCCGTGAAGATCCAGGATGGAATAGGTCTTCAGCAACCCATGCTTGCTGTTAAAGGCGACTATGCTTGTCGAAAAAGGCGACTAACGCTGACTTGGTTGATGCTTGTCATCGAGCCAAATTGCGTGGGTTGATGCTCATGTTTTCAATCACTGGATTGTCTGGTCCAGAGTCGATTATTTACAGACCACCGTCATATAGCTGGAATATTATTAAACAACAAACAAACAAACAAACAAGAGCATATGAAGTCCTTATCACTGCCGTACCTTGTATACATTCTTATTAACTGGCTTATCTCAACCATATGGCAGATAATCCCATCAATGAATTTGAAAATTTGGTGTTGTATCAGTTGGTGTAGAATCAAAGCTACTGCTCTCCTTTTGCCATGTTTGCATTTTCCGCCGCTTTTTTGGAATACCAGAAATGGGCATCACACATTGTAGTGGGAAATCAAACCGGGGCCTTCAGCGTGATGAGCAAACACTTTAACCACTAGGCTACCCAAGTCAGCTGACAGTGTTAGTTTAAACATCACATAGTCAAGTTTCGTTAATCCGACAATCGGCTTTATCCAACACAAATGAGGGGAACCGATTAAATCAGTGCTATTTAGACCCCTTAATCCGACAATCTCGCACTCCGACTCCGACTCACCTAATTTGCAATGAATTACCAAAATCACTCTTTAATCAGTCTCCGTGAATCATGACTCCGTGGACATCTGCCCACGAGTACATAGCCCCGTGTTTTGAGTGAGTGAGTATGGTTTTACGCTGCTTTTAGCAATATTCCAGCAATAACACGGGGGGACACCAGAAATGGGCTTCACACATTGTAGCCATGTCGGGAATCGAACCCGGGTCTTCGGCGTGACGAGCAAAGGCTTTAACCACTAGGCTACCCGACCGCCCCTTGTGTTCCTGAGGAGAGCTGGTACAGTAACATAGAATTTGAAAGTTTATTTATGTTTTTTGTTGGTATATAAAAGGGGGATATAGTGAAGAATATTATGTATGATTTTTCTATCGCTGAGGACATCCCATTACAGGTCACGTCAGAATGACCTTCCAATTGACCATTTGTCCAATTTTTTGTCCTAGTTTCGTTTATCCGACATACTCTTTAATCCGACATAATCATATGCAACCAACAATGTCGGATTAATGGGACTTGACTGTATTTGTGACTGTCCCAATCTGGACTCTGTTGGACTGATGACTTGGTTGATTGGTGTGACGTTGCTCATGGTATGAAACATTGGTTTGTCTGGTCTTGACTCAGTTATTGACTGACTGGAGTGAAAACAAGACACGTTATAATGCCTGATGATCCTTCAGTGTTTCTTTGTTTCCCTTCCTAGCGCCCTGAGTTTCGGTTCCTCCAGAGCAAGGATGGAGTACAGCCCAACCCCTTCGCCTACTTCGCCATGCCGCGGGACTTCGTCGACCTGGCTGCTGGGGAGGATCCCTACAAGCTCATGGACCTCCTGCACCTGGTATGATCAGGATGATAGACTTCCATATGCTGAACTCTGTGGGGATTCCAGGGCAGAGAAGGTCCTCAGTTCCCCATGCTTGTCAAGGGATGACTGGGATGAGGGTTCTGGGGCAGAGAAGGTCCTCAGTGCTCCCCATGCTTGCCGTGAGATGACTGGGATGAGGGTTCTGGGGCAGAGAAGGTCCTCAGTGCTCCCCATGCTTGCCGTGAGATGACTGGGATGAGGGTTCTGGGGCAGAGTTGGTTGGTTCTAAGTACCCCATGTTTGTTGTAAGAGGTGACTTATAAATATGAGGATTCCAGGGCAGAGGTCCTCAGTGCCCCATGCTTGTCATAAGAGGTGACTTGGATGAAGATTCCGGGGCAGAATTGGATGGTTCTAAGTACCCCATGTTTGTTGCAAGAGATGACTGGGATGAGGATTCTGGGGAAGAATTGGTTGGTCCTAAGTGCCCCATGTTTGTTGTAAGAGATGACAAGCATAGTCGCCTTTTACGGCATGCTGAAGACCTATTCTACCCCAGATCTTCATGGGTCTTTTAACCATGAATAACCAAGATGCAAAATTCTGCTTGTCTTGCAGTTTATGTTGCTGAATCAGGTACTTCCACAATTCTGTTGCTTGTATTCACCTGCCACACATGTTCAGCAATATGTTAATATATGTGTTCTGTTTTATAGAAAGTGCAGACTTCCACCAGCGAGAACACATCATCTGACGAGGACACCACCAGTTGACCTCCAGAGGAGTCTAGGCAGACTATTCTTGTGTAAATACAGTCATCATTTTGTACATAAAGCAGTGAAGTGCATCTGGTCTTTGTGTTGTTTGCCTGGTCGTGTCATGGGAAATCAAGTTGCCTCACTATAACAACCAGGTCACAGTGAATACTTGTTCTTGTGAGCTGGACACACATCAAGGTACTTTCCAAACACAACAGCCATTTGGACCACCTGATACACAATTACCCAATTGCCTCATTAAACATACATGTTGGGTGCAAGGTTGGTCCAGTCATCTAAGGCTTGGTTTGTTTGTTGTTGTACACCACATTCAGCAATATTCCAGCTATATGACTGGACCAGACAATCCAGTGATTGATAACATGGGCATGAATCTCTGCAATTAGGATACGATGACATGCAATCAACCAAGTCAAGAAGCTTGACCACTCAATCCCTTTAGTTGTCTCATACTAGAAGCACAGGAAGCTGGGGATTTATATTGGTACAGGAATTCCCATGTGTCTCACAAGAAGTCTCTGTTTAGAATTGTGTCCCTTAGGCATGCCAGGATCCTATAATTGTGAGTTTGAGTCCAAGAATCATCCCGAGTATGATTAATTGTCAGCACTGTACCAGTAATCATGGTTTTCGACCCATGAAGATTCGGGGTAGAATGGAATTCTTCATCAACCCATGCTTGCCGTAAAAGGTGACAAAAGTTATCGTAAGAGGCGACTAACAGGATTGGGTGGTCAGGCCCGCCGACTTGGTTGATGAATATCATCGTATCCCGATTGCGTTTATCGATGCTCATGATGTCACCTGATTGTCTGGTCCAGACTCTATTATTTACAGACCACTGTCATATAGCTTGAATACTGCTGAGTTTGGCATCACAAAAGAAAACCAAAAACCAAATAAACTCATTGGTTTCACCAAAGTAAATTCTCATATCTTGCTTCCTCTCACATAAAGCTGACATGCCGTGTTTTAACTGAAATACTGTTCACAACGGTATTAACCCAAACTAACACTCTCGTAAAACATACTACAAAATAAAAACAGAAGTCCAGACTGACATTAAATATTTTATAGAGAATCCTCAAGAGCAATTGTTTTCTGTGGTAAATGAAATATGGTATCTCCACACAGGCACATGGATGAAACTGAAAATATCATACGAGTCAACAACCCCTTCAGGTTATACAACACTGGTGTAACAAAGTAACAAGAATATGTAACAGCCGACCTTCGAGGTCAACTTGAGCAGAATGAGATCTGTGACATAAATAGTACTTAACACTATGGACATGATGACATACATGGACATATAACATTACTTGCCCAAGGGCAGTCGCTGTGTGGTCCCTGCCTAAAGCCATTATCGGTATTTACTTATCTTCTGTTGGATCACACGTCCACCCACTCTATTTTCATCAAAACTGAAAACTACATACAGTCAAACACTTGTGTTGATCAAACCAGAGACCATATAATATTATCTATAATATGGTCTCTGGTCAAACTTATGGTTACCTTGAAGTAAAAGCTTGATCCCATCAGTAAATGTATGCAAAGTTCATTTTTCGGTTGTGTCGAACTTCAGAAAACTCAAGGTATTTACATATGTCCTGTCAACTTCAACACAACTGTGTTTGACTTTAATTAAAATATTTTTGGACATCACATATTTAAGAATATTTTGTGATTACCCAAGTGGCTTAAAATATCAATGACCTTAATATGATGCTTAATTTGACATTGATATTTTAGCAAATTGATCAGTCATAGTAGACTTGGTGCGTGATGAATCAAGAGTTCTGTCCCTTGTCATTGATACAAACAAGCTCCTGCCTAGTGCGTGACACCTTCGTTACACTCGGTAACATTGCTGCCACCAGTGAGTGCGTGGCCATTACAAGAATCTTGAAATTTGCTCTCTAACCCCAAATGTAGTGACGTTTATACTTTTGTTTATAAATGTCTTTGGGAATGCCATCATATTTCATTTTGAAAAGGTTTACGACTGACCATGTTTTGCAGATGAATTTTCTTTGTTGTTTTATTCAGATTGGTTCGAGATTGCAGACTAACGGAAAATCAACCTTCTTCCTTACATTCTTACTATATCAATAAAAGATGATAGTTTTAATGAAATCGAAATTCAAATTGATAAACACTGAAAGTATTATAGCAGCGGTAAGTGTATTCGGCGTCACAACAGTCGTCACTTGTTTGTAAACATGACGGTCATTTGGTTGCGAGTTCAACTCCAAGCATGGTTGGGGCCACCTATCACAGTGGGGAGTTTTGACTGTTGGCAGCGATAGTATAGAGAGCTCCGCATATGGGCTATCGCTGTGAGGAGCTTGTGATACAAAGACTGCTGGAGTTATCTCCCTACTTAATGTCTTCTTTGTGGACATCTGTGGATGTTGAAAATCAAAGGTACCCGTACCTAGATTGAGGTTTCCTTGTCCCCCCTCTGACTTAAACAGAACAAATCTGTGATCCATAAAACTAGAAATAATGGCCTTAACAGGAGTTATGTATGGTGAGCTTTGTAAAGGGATTAAGTACAGGAGACTGGTGTCTATTTGTAAATATAGCCAGTCATATTTAAGTACGATAACTATGAGCAGTCTATAATTGTAGACATGGTTGACTGGAATGTTTATGAAACATATATTTCATATACAGTAATTTTCTATTGATCACCAAGTTTAGAGATAAGGGTTATTCATGTGGCTGACTGCCACTGCAAATGTAATAATATTGAAATTTGTTTTCAGAACAGAACAAGTATCATTTTGTATCTGGTTTAGGATTTCTGAATGGTAAGATTATTTGTTTAGATATGATGATGTATAGGAAGATGTAACAACAGAGCAGTTCAGTAAGATTCTTTACCTGCTGATTAGGTACTGGAAGAATGATAAGTGGTAGATACTTGTTCTTAATGCTTGTTTAGTCACTGTCATATGCTAAAAATGCATTTTCTGTAATCAAATTGAGAACAATACTGAAGGATTAGTTGCCAGAGTAACTCAGTTTTAACTGATGAAATGGGATAAGTTTTACTGTCATATACACTACTGAGGAGTGGGATAACTTTTACTGTCATATACACTAGTGAGTAGTGGGATAACTTTTACTGTCATATACACTACTGAGGAGAAGAATAACTTTTACTGTCATATACACTACTGAGGAGAAGGATAACTTTTACTGTTATATACACTACTGAGGGGAGGGATATCTTTTACTGTCACATACACTACTGAGGAGAAGGATAACTTTTACTGTCATATACACTACTGAGGGGAGGGATAACTTTTACTGTTATATACACTACTGAGGAGAGGGATAACTTTTACTGTTATATACACTACTGAGGAGAGGGATAACTTTTACTGTTATATACACTACTGAGGAGAGGGATAACTTTTACTGTCACATATGCTACTGAGGGGAGGGATAACTTTTACTGTCACATACACTACTGAGGAGAAGGATAACTTTTACTGTCATATACACTACTGAGGGGAGGGATAACTTTTACTGTCAAATACATATACATTACTGAGGGGAGGGATAACTTTTACTGTCATATACACTAGTGAGGGGAGGGATAACTTTTACTGTCATATACACTACTGAGGGGAGGGATAACTTTTACTGTCATATACACTACTGAGGGGAGGGATAACTTTTACTGTCAAATACATATACACTACTGAGGGGAGGGATAACTTTTACTGTCATATACACTATGGAGGAGTGGGATAACATTTACTGTCAAATACACTACTGAGGGGAGGGATAACTTTTACAGTCACATACACTACTGAGGGGAGGGATAACTTTTACTGTCGAAATACACTACTGAGGTGAGGGATAACTGTTACTGTCACATACACTACTGAGGGGAGGGATAACTTTTACTGTCGAAATACACTACTGAGGGGAGGGATAACTTTTACTGTCGAAATACACTACTGAGGAGAGGGATAACTTTTACTGTCACATACACTACTGAGGGGAGGGATAACTTTTACTGTCGAAATACACTACTGAGGAGAGGGATAACTTTTACTGTCACATACACTACTGAGGGGAGGGATAACTTTTACTGTCGAAATACACTACTGAGGGGAGGGATAACTTTTACTGTCAAATACATATACACTACTGAGGGGAGGGATAACTTTTACTGTCACATACACTACTGAGGGGAGGGATAACTTTTACTGTCGAAATACACTACTAAGGGGAGGGATAACTTTTACTGTCAAATACATATACACTACTGAGGGGAGGGATAACTTTTACTGTCACATACATATACATTACTGAGGAGTGGGGATAACTTTTATTGTCAAATACACTACTGAGGAGTGGGATACCTTTTACTGTCACATACACTACTGAGGAGAGGGATAACTTTTACTGTCATATACACTACTGAGGAGTGGGATAACTTTAACTGTCACATACACTACTGAGGAGAAGGATAACTTTTACTGTCACATACACTACTGAGGAGAGGGATAACTTTTACTGTTATATACACTACTGAGGAGAAGGATAACTTTTACTGTCATATACACTACTGAGGAGTGGGATAACTTTTACTGTCATATACACTACTGAGGAGAGGGATAACTTTTACTGTTATATACACTACTGAGGAGAGGGATAACTTTTACTGTCACATATGCTACTGAGGGGAGGGATAACTTTTACTGTCACATACACTACGGAGGAGTGGGATAACATTTACTGTCAAATACATATACATTACTGAGGGGTGGGATAACTTTTATTGTCACATACACTACTGAGGGGAGGGATAACTTTTACTGTCACATACACTACTGAGGGGAGGGATAACTTTTACTGTCGAAATACACTACTGAGGGGAGGGATAACTTTTACTGTCGAAATACACTACTGAGGAGAGGGATAACTTTTACTGTCACATACACTACTGAGGGGAGGGATAACTTTTACTGTCGAAATACACTACTGAGGGGAGGGATAACTTTTACTGTCAAATACATATACACTACTGAGGGGAGGGATAACTTTTACTGTCACATACACTACTGAGGGGAGGGATAACTTTTACTGTCGAAATACACTACTAAGGGGAGGGATAACTTTTACTGTCAAATACATATACACTACTGAGGGGAGGGATAACTTTTACTGTCACATACATATACATTACTGAGGAGTGGGATAAGTTTTACTGTCACATACACTACTGAGGAGTGGGATACCTTTTACTGTCACATACACTACTGAGGAGAGGGATAACTTTTACTGTCACATACACTACTGAGGAGAAGGATAACTTTTACTGTCATATACACTACTGAGGAGTGGGATAACTTTTACAGTCACATACACTACTGAGGAGAAGGATAACTTTTACTGTCACATACACTATTTAGGAGAGGGATAACTTTTACTGTCACATACATATACATTACTGAGGAGTGGGATACCTTTTACTGTCGAAATACACTACTAAGGGGAGGGATAACTTTTACTGTCAAATACATATACACTACTGAGGGGAGGGATAACTTTTACTGTCACATACATATACATTACTGAGGAGTGGGGATAACTTTTATTGTCAAATACACTACTGAGGAGTGGGATACCTTTTACTGTCACATACACTACTGAGGAGAGGGATAACTTTTACTGTCACATACACTACTGAGGAGAAGGATAACTTTTACTGTCATATACACTACTGAGGAGTGGGATAACTTTTACAGTCACATACACTACTGAGGAGAAGGATAACTTTTACTGTCACATACACTACTGAGGAGAGGGATAACTTTTACTGTCACATACATATACATTACTGAGGAGTGGGATACCTTTTACTGTCACATACACTACTGAGGGGAGGGATAACTTTTACTGTCACATACACTACTGAGGAGTGGTATAACTTTTATGACATCACTCTGGCATGTCTGGTATTGTTATAATAACATTGTTGAAAATATGAGCAGAGCAATAACAAAAAAGGCACATTGTGTTAAATGAAGCAAAAGGAATTTAAAATATATTTGTGATTTTTTTTATTTATTCACAATATTTTCATTTTTGACAACAGCCAGAGAGGCTGTATGTCAGTATTTCCGCCTTTGTCTGAGTATTCTTAAGGTGTGTCAATGGACTTCATAACAATAACATACAAGCCAAAGAACAGAATGCTTCTGAATGTGCACATAGCTTAATACCAATCACAGCAAATCACAGAAAGTTATCATTACCAATATAATACTACTTATTACTAAGGTATGATTTTGTATCAAGGATCACACTTTTTCTTTACAAAATGATGTAAAACTGTCTTCTGTTCATAATATTATTTTGTAGGAAATTCTGAGAAAGGCAAACACTGTTTCATGTCATACTTTCAACATAAACAAATTGTGTACTTCATGTATCATCAAAACAAAACTGGCTTACATGAGAACATGAAGATATGCAACAATGGAATGAAGAAAGGATAGAATCATGAACAGAGTAGAATCATGAACAATAGGGTAGAATCATGAACAGGATAGAAACATGAACAATAGGGTAGAATTATGAATAAGTTAGAATCATGAATAGAGTAGAATCATGAACTGAGTAAAATAATGAACAATAGGTTAGAATCATGAACAGGGTAGAATCATGAACAATAGGTTGGAATCATGAACAATAGGTTGGAATCATGAACAATAGGTTGGGATCATGAACAATAGGTTAGAATCATGAACAATAGGTTTGAATCATGAATAGAGTAGAATCATGAACAATAGGCTTGGCTCATGAACAATAGAATAGAAAAACAATTTGCTCATCACAGCTACTATATCACAGACCGCAACTTAATGGTATAGATTTCCAACAACAATACAAGCAACCCAGTCACTCTGGTTACACAACTGTATCAAGGCTATATACAAATATTTTGGCAAGCAAGAATTCTTATATACAAGAACAAAATCAATAAGATGCCTGTACAAACATGTTTGAAATAGAATACAATTTCCTAATTTCTTGTTCAACAGATGAATAATGCATTTCCATTTCTGGCAGTCAGTAGTAATTTTGAAAATATCGATGTCAGCAGTTTAATTGAATAATACTTTCTCTCTCTGATGCTGGAAGTAAAGCTTCATGATAAGGGGATACACAACTTCAGCAGTTTGACAATGGAATATCGGTAACACATTAAAGTTCTGACCAACAAAATAAAACTACAATATCAAATGCTGGAAGCAGAGAATATTTCAGCAGTTTCACATGGCCAATACTTAAACATTCAATATGCTTTGGTGTAAAAGAGATCTGGCTTTGGTTCATCAGCTGATGGTTTTGTATACATATATCTAAGGCAGGTAAACTTGTTAAAATAGTCACAGAAGATGTACCTCAATAGCTCTGAGGTAAACTAAATTATGCATATATGTGCAAATATATTAACCAAATTTAATAAACTTCTTGCAAGTTCAACAAATCAATAATGGTTTCATATTCATTTTAACTGATACAGGGCAACGATGGTTAAATGTTCATCAGTTTTATGGAGGAAAATGCATTGCTGTACTCCTACATCAGTATATATATATTGGTCTGTCAGATTTTGTTTGCAGGAAAGATGTTTCCCAACAATACCACTGTCAATCATATTTGGAAACGATTCTACATTAATTTTATATATCTGTCAATATAACATTATATATTGAGTGACTGTGTCTTTTCGTATTGGTACAGTAAATCATAGATCCAATGCTGCAAACCTTGGGTAAAAAAAAATAATAGTAATATATTTTTAGACAACTTCAGACAACATGTTTGCTTCAGTTTGACGTTTTCTCTATGGTAACCACTATACAAGATTATCTTTTTCGTTAACACTGTTTGTTGCAACTAAACAATTGCAAGAACAAGCACTTTTTCATGTCGAGATTTCTTGAAAGTTTTATGTAATGTGAATGGCAATACATGGACAGAGTAAAATGGCCAGTCCCTGATGACGTTGGAATTAGGGTTTCACTGTATACCAACTCCTCCATCGATGTTCTTTACATCTTTCCGAGGCAAGAGAGTTAACTAACTAAAAGTCCAGTTTCCACCCTTGCCGAACTAGGCTGGTATTATGGAGTTACATTTTGGCTGGACTAGCGAGTCCATGCATAGTCCAATCAAAATTGCGCACCGAAATCGAAATCCGGTTCTTAAACTGTTGTGCAGATTTTGGTTGATTGCTGGATTTGCTAAGCATGTGCACCGCCATCTCGTTGTCAGCAGATATTTTCCCAATCTTTTCATGTTTTTAATCAAGGTGCTCATGTGATTTGATGCATTTCGCTATGTAAGACCTGTTTTATCACAACATAGATCTTGATTATCGATCAGATCGTCCTGACTGGGCGCCACCATTTTGTGTGAAGCAAATGCAAGTGATACGAGAGGTGGAATCTGATTGGTCCATAGGAGAGGCTTAGAAGGGACATAACTGGTAATAGCCACTGGTGGTGCTACGATTGAGCCCAGTAATTTCAGCCTAGTTCGGCAAGGGTGGAAACTGGACTTTTAAAGTCAGTTAACTCTCTTGCCTCGGGAAGATGTGTTCTATATTGCCACTCAAGCATCATGAACCAATATGTATCTGAATCATTACATCCTGACCCAGACATGGCAGTGCTCAAAATTAACTCGGGTGCTGGGGTCCTTGAGATTTGGTCATACAGTATATGAAGTATATAGCGACCCTAAATCTTTTTCTATGAGGGCACTGGCAAGGACACCTTGACTTCAGCTTAATTTTGAACACTGCAAGGGGAATAACTGGCACTTTAAGACGCAGGGTGAGAGTGTTCTCCAAATTGAAGGTACTCAGGTGTCCAGCCTCATCCTGTTGTCCCGGGTATTGAGTGAGCTATTGGTTGCTGTTTGAGGGGAGAGGTCAGGTGAGCGGTCGGTCGGTAGCTGATGGGAGAGAGGCTGAGGCTGAGGCTGATCAACTTGGCCACAGGATGCAGGTCCCTGAAGGAGAGATGTCATGAAGCTGTTAAAACCTTGTTACTGCAAACACAGCATTTCAGTCTTAAAATGGCAAGTCAGTATATCAATCACATATAAACACCTCAACAAACAGACGTATCACAGCAGGTCTGGGCCAAAAAGCGAAGGATGAATCATGGAGCAAACTGCAAAATAGAAGGATGAGGAGCAGGGGGAGGGGGAGGAGGAGGAGGGGGAGGGGGAGGGGGAGGGGGAGGAGGAGGGCAACCTTCTTGAATACAACCTGGATTCTGTTTCACAAAGCAATTTCAGCGCTATAACTGTTGTAGGTCTATGTTAAAGATACGATCATCTTAGCGCTACGATCGCTTTGTGAAACAGAGCCCAGGGGCTACTTGCACAAAGTGATCTTAGCGCTAAGATGATTGTAACTCCCATACTTTAACATAGGCTTACAATACTCGTAGCACTAAAATTGCTTTCTGCAAGTGGGCCCTTGGTCCCGTTCCACAAAGCGATCTTACCAATACGACTGTCGTAAGTCTATATTGGAGTATGGGAGTTACGATTGACTTAGCGCTAAGATCGCTTTGTGGAATAGGGCCCAGGGTCTCATTTCACAAAGGAGTCATCCGATTGACTCAAAAACCCATGCAGCCTCTATTTTGATTGATAGGTCAAAGTTGACTCCGGATGCACCTGTTGCAACCTCAGAACGTATCGTATCAGAGTAAAAGATCTGACATTAATGAGGCATGAAGCGAATTGCATCTTGCACCATTGAGGCACCTGGACAACCCATGACATGGCTGTAGAATAAAGCATTTTCATGTATCATGTATATAATATCTTACAACTTTCAGCTGAATAAGCTGTTCCAATACAGCTTGAAAGTAGTACATGCTGACATTACAAGACTGATTCTTATGGAAACCTTCCATCAGGGAAAGTATTGACATTTCACGAATACGAGGTCGTACGAGAATCCAGAGGAAGGTGCAGGGCTATTCACCCCAATTCTCAAAGCATACTAGACATGTATACAGTCAGACATTTTACAGAAAACCAGGAATACAAAACATATACATGCAGCAACAATAATGACATATTTTCAACAAACTTACACAATTACTAAAAGCTAATTGCCAAATCACAAAATGCACCACTTATCTTTCCCAAAACTTGTAGTGGTGTAACGATACGGTGATACAGTACTGTATCCCGATAGGAGGCCCATGATACAATACATTGATTAACAACTCCTGTATTGCGATACATATGGTACATTACATTACATGATTTATATGTGTGAATAATAACACAAACTATTTAACAACCAGCTTACGCAGATTCTCTAGTATTCCCTAGTTGGCTATAAATAGCATAACATTCACAGCGCCCTCTACCAAGATGTTTTGCCCTACAAAATCCCAAATTTAACAACAAATGATTCAGGGTTGTGATTCACCTGCAAAAAGAAAAAAATCAACTTACGAAATAAACATACTGTATCGGGGTACAAATCGTATCACACCAATAGTATCATGGTACGTATCGTATCATGACCCACTGTATTGTTACACCTCTAAAAACTTGTATCCACACTTGAAAGTAGTCCCCGCTGAGACTATCAATACCGTATTCGACGTAATAAGCGCCCCTCTCTAATAAGCGCCCATGGCGATATTTGCTAATATATTGGCGAGTGAACAATCCCAATTAGCACCCCTTCCGATTGATCAATGTACAAAAGACTTATTTATTACGCACTCGTGTGTTATATGCACCCTTAATTATGGGCAATTAAATTCCAGAAAATATATCTGTTGTATATAAACATTTCAGGCTGTCAGCATAAAGCACGAAATTTATATTTCAACCAAATTTTTTTCACCAAAATAATATTCTAATAAGAGCCTCCTATTTCTAATTTTGAGAGCGCCCTGGGCGCTTATTATGTCGAATACGGTATCTATTTTTTTCACACAAAGAATGATGTACATGTACTTTCGAACAATCACAGTCTGCTGTCCACATTCATTAATTTAATATCTTTCCCTGTAAAATGATATTCACACAATAAAATCTACCACTGTTGCTGTTACCTGTCAGTTATGTGATGTGATTGATGTCAGGGAGGGTATTTGATTGCTGGAACTGCCGCAGGGAGGAAAACAGAACAGTCAAGCAGGAGAACAGATTCATAACAGTCGTCTATATTTCATTGACGCTACTTTTATGGACAAATATTTTTTATATAGAAATCCTAATATATTTGTACAATTATGCAAGATGTTTTATTGACAACATTTTTGGAATCATAAATGAGAAATTTTGAAACGAATAATCTTACTGCAAGAGTAACTGTTTTAGCCTTATTAAGGTATGATGTCAATATGTGTAAATAAAAAATGTTGAAGATATAATAATTATTCAATTTATAGCATTTTATATTTAGAAAGTGATAAAATAGTTAATTTCCATCGCTTGACACAAAGCTTCTGATAGCACCAAACGTGTAATTTCAATGCAAGATGTCAGTCACAGCAAACCCACACACATTGCAACACAGAGACAAGACATGAACACACAAAGCAAACTTGCAACAAATGTCAGTGATTGTCAATCAAATGTCATAAATATCATAGATATCACTTTTCCAATTAAAATGATACTTTCTTCACCAATCAAGGAATCCATCCTAAATTATCCAGGGCATCGTATCTCAATTCCATTATGATAAATACCCTGCACCCATTCGTCACCAATGCTTCGTCTTGACTCCAGTTCTGATGACAAAACACTAAAAATAGCCATTTAATCAAATTACACTTATAGAGGGCAAATAGTTATTAATATCTCAAGTACCTGACTGGTATTATTATGTATAATCTGGGAATGACATATAGCATAAGGACTTGGGTCCCTCTATTAAAACATCTTTTCCAGCTAGATCATTCTGATTCGAAGTAAAATCCTTTGTTTAAATATATCGCTCGCTTGAACGAGGCCGCTAGTTTGAATGTTGATCTTGCCAAACTGTCGTATAGAATAGACCTTTTCATTTGTTGTTTCTTTCAAGCTTATCAGCAACGGAAATTCTGTGCTAGGTTAGCAATATGGGAGACGGAGATCATGACAAAGCATTGGTGGAGTATGGGTCCAGGGTATGTATGTCATAAGAAATGGAGATATAATACCCTGGATTAGCGAGGATGCATTAATTCAGATCAGTCTAATTTCTTGTTTCACCGATTTCCTTTCGTGATATTCCAATATTCAGTGTGCCAAAAAAAACCTTGCTTTTTGTCTGGGTTGCTTTGAAACAATTTTCTTTAAAAAGTCTCACAAGCTTTTAATGAAAAAACATATTTCTAGAAAAAATTTTTTTTAATGTAAAACAACTTATTTAATGTTATTATTTACTCTATTCATGCAAAATTAAGGATCTGAAAAATGAGAAAATAAATTTGACTGACCTCTGAAGAATACACCCCATTTATCTTATCTGATTGAATTCCTTAAAAAATATGTCTACTACATATGTTCACACAGCAGAAGATGTAGCTGGAAGAGTATTACGTGTTGCTTAAACAACAAACAAACCTGTAAGAAAAATCTTGACACCAATGGCATCATACCGATCAGCATATACATTTTATTCTGGCTACTAAAGGACAGATCTAAAATAAATTAAATAAAAAAGTATTTCCTTAGGTAGGCACTGGGATAATTTTCACTATATACATGAAAGAAAAAAAAAAGAAAACAAAAGAAAAAATAAGAAAAAAAGAAAAAAGTTCTATGATACATATTTGACATAATGATTGCATTGCATGTGCTTGTGATTGTGCAATAAAAAATAGAAATAAAGTGCAAACCCAAAAAATGAAAATCAATAAAAAAAAGACAACAAATCAATCACACATTTGGCTAATAAGTTTGATATAGCTAAACATATTCTGCATGTAGTGTAAGTTATCTCACACAACACACGAGATGTTTGTTTATGCGACCCAGCACCAACATTTAGTACACATCAAAAGATAACCACATACATTCTAAACTGGCAGACACAAAAATATTTTTAAACTGTCCACGAAACGCTGTTGTAGCTAATTATAACAGGAGCGTAAACTTCAGTAAACATTAATGTAGGAGAGGGACCCTTAATTCATTTTGTCAACATTTATCAAAACAGTTATCAATAATTCAATAAAAAATACCGTATTTGGTCTATTTAACACCCTGTTAATTGTCATGAATACTGAAAATGTTTTTATTGTTTCTACCGGTACCTCATCATACTTCAGCCATATTTATAGATGTAGTTTGTTTGTTCTTATTTGTTATTTTACATCGCAGTAGGCAATATTTCAGCTATAGTGAGTGAGTGAGTGAGTATGGTTTTACACCGCTTTTAGCAATATTCCAGCAATATCACGGCGGGGAACACCAGAAATGGGCTTCACACATTGTACCCATGTAGGGAATCAAACCCGGGTCTTCCGAGTGACGAGCGAATGCTTTAACCACTAGGCTACCCGACTGCCCCTATTTCAGCTATAACATGACTCAGCCTGAAAATAATCAAGTCTGGGCCAGATAAATCAGTGATTGACGTTATGAACAACATCCATGCCGTCGATGGAATGATGACATGCAATCAGCCATGTCACTGAGTCTGAACAATTAGTCACCTTGTACAACACTCAATAGAGTGCATGGGACCTAATCTAACTTGGTCCCCATTGGGTGTCAAGACTTGACAATGCAAAGTAGCGGTTGACAGTCTGAGCATCAATCTGCTGACTTTAAAAACTTGGACAATTAGCAATCCCTGTAATGGTCCAACAAGCGGTATTCTGGGCGGAGTTAGTATTTAAAAAAAAGAAGAGTCAAATGTTCATGAAAATGCTGGGAAAAAACAATTAGTCCTCAGATCTAAACCCCAAAACAAAAGAAAAATAAAGATCCACAGAAAATATTTGGTTATAAAAAATCATGTCTTGTGGGTAGGC